GGGGGGTTGTCAGGGGAGCCAGCCCCTAACAGATCATCACAGGCCTGGCAGGCACAATTGTACAGCGATAATAAGCAAAGACTATAGTAAAGTCGTAGAGAATAAGAGAGATAGAAGAAAGAGTGAAATAAAGGAGTCAGACACATTTCATGGTAGCATGCTCACCTCAGCCCCACTTGGTGGTCCACGTGGAGATGGGAGACGAGAAGGCAGGAGAGAGCTTCATTGCTGACCCAGTCTTAGATCTCTTGGGGGAGGGGGGGGCGGTGCATGCCTCCTAATTACAGGTAAAGACATATGTCACAACAAGGGGTTGTAACATAGGCAATGCAAGCAATAGGAGGGGGGTATACAATGGGCATAAGCTTAAGAGGAAGGGGATGAGCTAGGGGTGCACACGTGATGGGAAGGGGAGGGACTAGGGGTGTACATGTGACAAGAGGGGCGGACCCTAAGCCTAACCTTGGTCACACTTGGGTGCACTTGACCTCCCTGGGCTCGCCTTCAGGGAAACAATCTACTACTATCCTTATCAGAAGTGAGTGGGCCCCCGCCCCCCCAAAAAAGAAGTGAGTAGGTCCTACTTAGGGTGCGACAGACTAGACAGTCTGATTGCTGTAGATGGCTGATAACCCTTAGGGAGAATAGCCTCTGGCTACTTTCCTTGACCTCCAGGTGTATCGTCATTTACCATGTGTAGCAAGCAGCTAAGTTTGGCATATATTTGAGGGAGACAACTTAGGGGAAATCTTCCTGTTTGCCACAGGTGGGAAACAGCCTAGTGCACCCCAGGCATAGCGCTAGGCCCTGAGGGCAGGCCTGCTGGTTTTCAGGGTTCCCCCCTTGGCCTGTCTTCACAGTCGCCCAGTGATGGAGTCACAAGCCAGGTGGCCGAGGGAAAGGGATTGAGGATGGGGAGCCCTCCCCAGAAAGCAAGGAGAGGATGGAACTGGGGGGCTCCAGACAGGGAGTGTGGATCATAACAGACTATGGATAACCTTGAGAAGAATAGGAATTCCAGAACACTTCATTGTGCTCCTGCAGAACCTGTCCAGGGGTCGAGTCATTTGTGGGAACAGAACAAGGGAATACGGCTCAGTTGAAAATCAGGAAAGGTGTGTAAAGGGTCGTATCCTCTTAGTCTGTGTGCTGAGCAAAACATCAGAGAAGATGGCTTATGTGAAGAAGAATGTAATCTAAAGATCAGAGGGTGGGGAAATACACTTATCAAGCTAATGGCATTCAAAAAATGATGAGTGGTAATATTAATATCTGATACTGTAGGTTTTAAGGCAAAATCCATCATGAGAGGCAAAGAAGGGCACTCCATAATGATTAAAGGGGCAATGGAACAAAACAATTGAAATTAACAATATGCACTCAATAAAAGACCTTCAGAACACATTTTAAAAAAAGAAGAAGGACCAGTGGTGAGAGCAGCGTGACCGTGAGTGTCCAGAGAGGGGGGTGGACAGGGGACCGATTACAGGGATCTACATATAACCTCCCCCTGGGGGACGGACAACAGACCGTGAGTGTCCAGAGAGGGCGGGTGGACAGGGGGACCGATTACAGAGATCTACATGTGACCTCCCCCTGGGGGACGGACAACAGACAAGTGGGTGAAGGGAGACGTCGGACACGGCAAGTTATGACAAAATAATAATTTATAATTATCAAGGGCTCATGAGGGAGGGGGCAATTAGGAGCTGATGCCAGGGGCTTAAGTGGAGAGCAAATGTTTTGAGGATGATGAGGGCAATGAATGTACAAATGTGCTTTACACAGCTGATGTATGTGTGGATTGTGGTAAGAGCTGTGTGAGCCCCAATAAAACGATTAAAAAGAAGAAGAATGTGACATCAGAATGAGAGGAAGGCCTGCGATGTGCAGACGACACGACTTGCTTGCTGAAAGCACGGAGGACTTGAAGCCCGTGCTGATGGAGATGGAGGAGTGCGGCCTGCAGTGTGGATGGCCCTCAATGTCAGGAAGACCAGCATCCTCACCACGGGACCAGTCGGCGACAGCCTGATACACGGAGACTAGGTTGGAGTTGTCAAGATCTCGTCTTGCTTGCATCCACATCAGTGCGCATGGAAACAGCAGCCAACAGATCACATGGTGCATTTCACTGGGTAAATCTGCACAACACTTCTTTAGAGAATTGGAAAGCCAGGACGTGACTTTGAGGACTAAGGGGCGCCTGACCTGAGCCATGGTGTTCTCTGTTGCCTCAGGTGCGTGTGAAAGTTGGGCACTGAGTAAGGAAGCTTGAAGAATTGCACATTTGAGTTGTTTGTGGAGAAGAATACCAGAAAGTAAGTGCCATGGACTGCTAACAGGACAAACTGATCAGCATGAAGAAGCACGGGCAGGGTGCTCCTTAGAGGCACGGATGTGAGACTCTCCTGTGTTCTTCCCACAGTGTTCCTTCTGTTGCGCATAAGGTCATTGGGTCACCGACTGATGGTACCCAGCAGCAACAAGAGGTGGGCCTCACAGTAATGGCCCCTCAGAATGCTGCCTCAGCGGGCAGTCCTGCAGCCCTGCCATCGTCCAGTGCCCTCAAAGTGACTGGGCCCACCACTGCTCCTCACCCATTTCCCACCAGCTACCCTTACTGCCCATGTGCCCTCTGGGGGTGTGGCTGTCAGGACCAGCAGTTTGAGAGACCTGGAAACACACCACTCTGACCAGCAGCAGCTACTCACTCCCTTACTCATCCATCCATCCATCCATCCATCCACTCACTCCCTCATCCATCCACTCACTCATTCACTCATCTACTCCCTCACTCATCCACTCAACTCCATCCATCTGTCACCCATCCATCCATCCACTCAA